AATAATTTGGCCCAAATTGGAGCTGCATTAGGTGTTGATGATACGACAGTGCTGCTGTGTGTCTTCAGCTTCTTCAATTTCCTGGGACGCCTGGGGTCAGGTGTGGTTTCTGAATACTTTGTCAGGTAATATTTCTTGGCTCTCATGCTGTCTCAAAGACTAGGCTGAGTTATGTTTCATGTATTGCTCGATTAAGTTACATACTTGTATATCGACTTTCATGTTAGATGTTTCACTTGCATCACGACTTACAAAATTTCCTCGACTATCCTGCAAATTGCCTCTTTATTTTATATTTCCTTGGCTCTGTTTGGTGGTTTCTTTCGTCTTGAAAATAGATACCATTTTTTATTTTCTGTAGATATACAGTTCTTGGTTTCTAGACAGCATGCTCCTATGTTGATATGAGATTGCTTTATCTCAATTTTAGGTCTAAAGCCCTTCCTCGGACAATTTGGATGACATTCGCTCAAACAATCATGATTGCGACATTCCTTCTGTATGCGTCGGCCCTGGATGGTACTCTATATGTTGCTACTGCTCTACTCGGGTTATGCTACGGTGTTCAGTTTAGCATCATGATACCGACTGCATCTGAGCTTTTTGGTTTGAAACACTTTGGCATTATTTTCAACTTCATGCAGCTGGGCAATCCTATTGGCGCTCTTCTTTTCTCGGGTCTCCTTGCTGGTGATGTATATGACGCAGAAGCTGCGCTACAGGGGGCATCAACGTGCTTGGGTCCCACTTGCTTCAGGCTCACATTCCTTATTTTAGCTGGTTTATGTGGGTTAGGCACCCTCCTGAGCATTATTTTGTATGTTAGAATTCGACCGGTTTACCAAAGTCTTTACTCTGAGGGTTCTTTCCGTATTCCCCCGAGTTCAGACCAATGATAAGCGAAGACATCTTTCAGATTGAAGGTGATTAGCATTATTCGACCATAGTTGAGCAATACCATTGAGTTTTCACTTCTCAGAGAGGCGGGTACACACTCATTGCAGTATCTGATATTGGTGTTTAAGATCTTCCACAAAGTAGAGAACATCACGATCATTGCGAGTGTCCATCTTCGTGGGAATCTGTTGTTTTGTTGTAAAACTACAACTACTGCAAAATATCAAGTTTTGGCAGAACTTTCTCATTCCCGGTATATTAGTTAGATAGCTATTTGGGGTTTCTGTCCAGCGTGCTCTATATGTAGACATAACTGATGATGCTTTGTTGTCGGGAGCAGATGTTCTGTAAGTTTGACGAGACATATTATGGTTGAGTTGAAATAATAGTATGTTCAGGCGTTCTATGGTTGTGATCTTCAATACTTGTATCCGAATGCACCTTGTAATATCTGAGAGTACTATGAGCAATAGAGTTTTCAACTGTTCAAAGCAGATAGTTCCCAAAGACAGCATGCCATGACCAGTGAAACTAAAGCATATTAACTTCACCCGATGAATAACATGAACAACATTTCGAACAAACCAAATTAGCCGTTACGGTTACTAAGACAAAAAATGGGCTACTTTCAGAATAAACTCACTCATACCTAATACAAATCAACCTCACATGAGGCGACACTAAACTTCCCCTGCAGATGAAACAATATCCTGCAGCTAAAGACTATCTAGAGCACGATACACTGGACTAGAAGAACAGAGATAAGAACTCCTACTGAAACAAGCAATCTTTGGCGGAGGAACCAAAAACCGATCTCACACCATCGAAGAGCTGCGAACTTGGACTCCAGAGACTGGGGAACTTGGTGACTCTGGGATGAAGATTTTAATCTTCATGTGGGTTTAAGATTTTGGAACATTGTGTCCCATTTGATCTCTTGAACCCCATCGGCAGACCAGTACCCATCATACTGATCATCCACAAACTTTTCTTCTTTACTAAGAGCATAAACCATTGGACTCGAAAAGCTGTTAAGACGAGGTGTTGATACCGCCAGAGGACTCCCATTAGTGAGCAACAACCTCCCTTTCTTAGCCATCATCAACTTCCTGTTCCTCTTAACCATTGCATTCCTCCATCTGGTGCCATAACTTGGCCTCGACACAACAGTGAGAGCAGATTCCTCACAATGCGTCCACTTCTTCATGTAACTGGCCAGACGCTTCTTGGTCGTGTTGATTGCACCAACAAGACTCGAAAATGGACGCTGCTTCAAAAAATTCTCCTTTTTAGCAAGTTTGAGTATCTCCAGCCGGTGCTTGGCTATGGATATGCCAATGCTCTGCAGGAACTCATGGTTGAAGTGACTTATGTCGTCTTCCTCGAGCTCATTGTGCGCAAAGGCGAGGCCGTATTCATATACAAGAGACGGCTCTAGACCAGTTTTCGATAACCAAGAAAACCAATCCATGGCTTAATAAGATAGAGCAAGTATTGCTATCGACAATCTGCCATATAAATAGTAGAGGGGAGGAAGAAGAGAGATATCAAGTAGAGGTTAGTAGACTAACCTGTGACTTTTTTTTAGGCATGAGTAGCTTCGTAAATTGGATGTTAGTTGGGGATTTGAGAGTGATTGGAGAAAAAGGAGGACAACCGTGTGGGGTCTAGAAACTAGAGCAAGTGCCATCAAAAGTTGTTCATGAAAATGCATAGCATTGCCTTCAATCACGGAAAAGAAGAGGATTGTGAAGGTGGGTCTACCTCTCTTGTGCACATAGTTGGAGGAAAAGTGCACCCGAGATGGACTCAAAATTTCAAACCTTTGAACCCCTTTTTCGGGTTTCGGTCATTAAAAAGAAAAAGGTGGGATCATCCGTGAAGAGATATGTTGGATATGCAATGTTTAATGCTTTTCTACATGGACTTTTCTGCAAAATGATAATCTAATTGAATCGTGTTATGGAAAATTCAGTACCTCAAAAAGAAGTTGCTTCCCTTGGTAGTACAAATTTATAGGGATGATGGTTGGCTTTGGAATCTTTGACTACTTAACCATGGTCATTAGCTTGCCGTACGAGCAAAATTAGATATAAAGGTAATGCTTTTCAGAATCTTTAATAGGTTCATGGAACCATATGATCTGATTTTGCATTGCCGGGAACATCTTTTCCTTGAGCTCTGTGAAGTTAGTCCCTCCATGATGCGTTTCCTCCTAGAGGCAGGACAGGACGCTACCCCTGAGAGAATTCACCCTCACTTTCTGTGAATCTTATGATTACCTTGTGTTCTCTGTCTGCGAGGCTCACTCCGGATTACCCCAGCAAGTCCAACAATGGCCGAACGAGGAGTTTCGTCTCCTTTTCTCTTTCCTTTTTGGTGGACGGGGGAGTCACAACCGCGTTCAGAAGGTGCAAATTTGATCTAAGAAGCTCATAATCTGTCTCGTCTGAAACCGTATCAAGTGGGAAGTATAGATAAGTCCTTTTGGAGGTGTAACTTTTCATGAGGCGTGATTAAAGTAATCAGGGTTCAAAAAATCTTTTTCCAGTCGACATTGGGTTTTTCCTGGTAGTGACCCTTATGTTGTTTTGTGCTCCCATGTCCACTTTTTGGTGAAGTTTGATTGTCTGCTGTCCCCTACTAGTTCATTAGTTTCCGCAAAAAGCGTTAAGGAAAGTTGTTAACAAGTCAAGTCCAACAAAAAAAAAAGTCTGCTTTGATGTTCATATACATGCGCATGCCAGGTCTGAAAGTCAGATGACTCCCTTCATCATGCACATGGGAGTCCCACAAATTAGTAGTCAACTCCTGATAAACAAATTAAGCATCAATAGCGGCCAGACTCTTCTCATGGAGTTGCGTATTTTGGGGGACAGTTCTTACAGACGAGGGTGGGGAAACTAAACTATCAGCAGTCCATGCCCTGTATAATCGACCAAAATGGGTGCACCCGCTTGAGCTGCCAAGTTCTAGTATCCTCAGTCCTTGCAGTTTCGTAAACAAATTGATATATGGTATGAATGAGGAATCTACTAGTTACTCTTTCAGTTCCATATCTTTGCTAGTCTCAAGAAGCCACAAGAGACCATAGACATGCGCTGGTACTTAGGTTTTAGGATGTCTACGCATTTGTTTTCACTAAATCTTTGGTAACACCATCTGCCTCTCAAGACATGTTACATTTCAGTAAGTGAATGTTTGGAGATTCATGAGACAGACCTAGAGATCATTAACCCTCACATACACTCCTAGAAGAACCAGCAAGGATGTCACTAATTGTGCGTAGTTGTCCTATCATTACCTGCAGCGTGAGCGATGCATATTCGCACAATCTTTACTGTTCCCATCTTTTTTAAAAAGCAGCTGGCAGAAGAATCCCACATCCTATGAACTTTTCTAAAACAAAATCCTGGAAGCTTCACAAACACAAGTATGTCCATTTCCCAGCAAGCAATCTCATATTCTATACAGTTTGAAACTGCAAACTAGCAGTTTTAGACAGATAGGACTATGTCCATTTCCTGGTAATTCTTGCAATCACAGACTTCAGAGCCAGAAGAAGGGGCCGCAAGTTCAATATTCCTTAATGAAGAAGAAAATCACTTTGCTCAGAAAAAGTTATAAATCATGGACCTCTAACTATAGTGCATCTGGAGTAAACTTCCATAGAATTGGCAAAAATGAAAGCCTCCATGTTGATCAAGCCACCTGTTGGAAAATTGACCTGTAGAGCACATAATAGCTGAAACTTCGAGAGCAGACGAAATTAAACCACCTTTGCTGGGAGATGATGAAGGGACAAAAACAGCAAAATGAAGCCAGTGCAAGAGAAGCAATCTTTCTGATGCATTCAAATGTTTGAGTTTATCTTACAGGATCTCGCATAAAATTTAGGGGTTACTTGATTGGTTACTACTGGAGAAGGAACACCATTCCCTCAGTCACGTATGCTGCACTTACCTTATTACAAATGTGAAAACATCAATTGCCAATCACTTACCTAGAAGACAGTATATTTTATGGTAAGAAGCAATAGATTCTGACTGAATGATCATCAAGCACTAAAAATCAGAAACTACTCTTTAAGTTTTCGACGGGAGTGTATGAACAGAGAAGCTGTCAAGAAATTATGAATATGTCCATCCCTAGCCAGCAGATTGATAACATAACCGGTAAGGGAATAAATGTATACAGAACGAAAAAAAGCTTCCAAAAAAAGTGAAGAAACAACATAAAGTGGAGCATCGCTTAATCACTATGGCAGATTCCTCCCCCTATTATACAAACAGAACTCTAAAATCCTGTGAAAGAAATGTTCAACTGAGAATCATCGAAAGAATCATGTGAGTTTCGACCAAAACATGCGACAATCCATTTCGCATAACATACGCCGTATGCCCAAACATTCTTCCAGAAACATGTAAATCTCCAAATCCTGCTCTGAGAATGCAAATCATCGTAGCAGATCCAATTACAAAGGACATTCGGGCAGCCCTCACAATTCCGGTCATTCATGAGTTCCCCTGACATTCCTCAATAGGGAACAACCAAAAGGGCGAACCAATAAAAGCACTATCGCCAAAAAATCTATCTACCGTGTGAGTCCATTTGATTCACTAAATCGGACCGGCAAAGAGACAACCAAGTCACACAAAACTTGTCCACACATGAACTTGCACTTCAATGCCAGATCTCCGACTAGCTAACATATAACCAAAGCGATAAGGTCATTCCGATTTGCTCTCAAGGCCATACACATTCCCGATAATTCCGACGATGCTGACTATTACTGCAAGTACTAACATGACCCACGATAGCGATTTCTCCACTGGACTTAAACCCGCACCTTTCTTACATAATCTTAAGGCAATCAATGGTGGAAATATAAATCCTAATGACACAGCTGTAGTCGCCCCTGTGAACTTGAATGCGGTCCAGATGTTGGGAATCATTGTTGAACCTATGTATATTAGCACGAGGAGTACAGCAGTTAATGCCAAACACCTCTTCCTACTCTCTGAAAGTGGAGGTGATTTCTCAAAAAGCAATGCATCTACCGTTTGGCGTAGTGAGAAATGGATCACAGGGAAAACAAGTACCAGATGGAGAATGTAACCAGCCCGAACAATATAATTCAGAGCAGAGCTGAACCGGATACCTAGATCCTTATCGAAATTGGTCAGCACATCGGCTTCAGTGTCTTTTCCAAAGAGCAAATACCCCGATATAGCAGTCGACGCATAGACCATAATACAGATAACTGTGGTGATCCTCCCTACCCGATACATCTTGTCCGGAGACCGGTTTTCAAGCTCATTATATATAGGTTGAACATTGAAATGGCAAACATAAGCATTAGACATAATCGGTATCACCACAAGCAAATCCAATATTGCCTTCTTGGAACCAAAATCAGGGCTCATCCTCGGGGCCTCGATTTTCCCTTCAACAAGCTTAATCAATGCAACAATAAAACAAACAATAACAAACACCACGGCCAGTGCCACTGAAGCTGCAGACGTCATGCTCAATGAATCGATCTTATCCAAAACACAGAGAGGAGCGAGAAACAACACCAGGATTATAAAAATCACCAACTTCCTATGATCCCAAAACCCATTTCCCAGCCACTGATCAAAAACCCCTACATGACGAACCGAGCCGGACAGAACATCACCCATGATGATTAAGTAAACCACCATAACACCAGCATTATTCACTATGATACAAATTTCTGACAAAATCCTAGCCGGTTTCCCCAATGCGCGTTGAACAACCTCACCATATGAAGAGGCCTTGCAGAAAACCGAAAACCTGACCAGCAATTCCACGCTCATTTCCGACAGTATGCCCATCAGAACGATCAAAACAAACCCTAGAACCAATCCAAGAACCTTCATGGTCGCCGGTAGGGCCATAATCCCGGCACCAATTATAGACGTGGTGAGGTTAAACACAGCACCCGATAAGCCGGACCCGGTTTTATGCCCATTACCAATAAGCGGGTAATCATCTACGTCGACATTGGCATCATCATAATCGTAACTACCGTCGATGCCATTCACGTTCTTGGAACCTAAATAGCTGTCTATATCAAGGGGGAGGAACTGGGTGTCCGATTTGGGGGTCACGTGATCATTGTGGGATTGCAATTCAACGTACGAGCTCTTCGAAATAGCTTTGTAAGCACTACCCATGTCCAAACTCACGGCCGAACGCGCAATAAAAGCCGGACCTTTGGTGCGCGGATCTGGAATTGGAACGAGGGACGCGAATGGGAAACTTACAAGAACCGGGGGCGGGGCGTCGTCAAAGAAGGGAGGTTCGACGATGAATTTCAATCTGCGTGGTGGGGTTACAGCGCCATGGATGATCACTAGATCTCAGGGTCAACGTTTCATCCGTCTTTCTTCCTCGTTCTTCAGCTACCACCTGCACAGAAGAGAGAGAGAGAGGAGGGCGAGAGAAAGGGTAGATGTCTCTGCCTGTTTGGGGAGAAACAGGTTTTCCTATTGGCCCGTTCTTTTTCCGACGTGGAATTTGATTTGTTCGGATAAAATGGGAAAGATTGCAGGAGAGCAAAAATATATTTTTCGGTGTGAAATACTGCTGACCAATTTTCTTTTCCTCTTTTTCCATCTCCTTCTTGAATTCTCTTTAGGGATAATAATACAAATAATCCATGAACTTTGGCCCAATATATAATGTGATCTCTGAACCATTCAATTTGTCCGATGTGATCGCTGAATTTTGGCCCAATGTGCAACGCAGCCCCTGAATTCTTAATTTATTCAATGTGATCTCTGAAATTTTGGAAAATATTCAATTTAGTCTCCGGATTATTATATCTCCATATTCAATCTGGTCCCTGAATTATCTAGTTTAGGAACTAAATTGAATATGTACCAAAAATTCAAAGAGCGCATTTAATAAATTAAAAGTTCAGGGACCACATTACATATTGGGCCAAAGTTCAGCGATCATATTGAATAAATTAAAAATTCATGAATCACATTGTATATAAGCCAAAATTCATGAATCATTTGTGCGATTTTCCCCTTTTTTTTATGCTTGGCTTGGACATGATTATTGTATTTTTCTTCTGTCCAATTAACGAAAGAACTGTTCAAAGATTGCTCTTTCTGTATTGGGGTCAAGGCTTGTACTTCAAAGGGTAACGTGTTGGGCTTTGTCAAATGAAAAGCAAAAATGAAATGGCCGATGGCAATTGCCAGGAATTTCTACTGATGATTTTCTGGTGATTACTTTACGAAACTATTCATATTTTGCATTGTTTATCCTCTAGAAGTTGCGAGAAATCAAAGATAGCTCGTTAACGAGATCAAGCATCACATGTTATGTGTACCACCCTCTTGCTGGATTGATTTTAGTGTCCTTCAAGAGCAGAAAGAAAGAAGCAAAAACTCTACGTAAGGAGATCTGAAAGGCTTCACTAGCAATATCGCTTATCAAGCTCTCGATTGTTATGCTTAGTTTTCTATCTCGCACGAACAATGATCACAAAATATGTTCGTTCTTGATTGTGGATCGAGGAAGATGCAAAAATGATGTGTTTTCGTCTCTTATGTCTGAGTAAATCTTTCTTAGCCTCCGTTCGTTTGGCGGAAAATATTCTCCTTTTGGAAAATATTTTCCCGGAAGTCATTTTCCTGAAAAATGTTTTCCCGGAACATAATTTTCCGGTGTTCGCGACCAATATGAAAAAGTTTCGGAAAATATTTTTTTGCCGACCGGCGATCGGCGGCGGCGGCAACCCGGCGGCGGCGGCGACCGGCGGCGCGGCGGCGGCGTGGTCGCAAGCGGCGATCGGTGGCGGCGACGGCGCCGGCGAGCAGGCGGCCGGCGACCGACGGCGACCGGGCGGGCGGGCGACGACCGACGGCGGGCGGCCGACGGCCAACGGCGGTGACCGATGATCAACTTCCTCTCCCGCGAAAAACATTTTCCCTCCCATGAGCAATTTTGCCTTCAATTTGGGGGAAAATGATTTCCTCTTTGTGAAAAGAGGAAATCATTTTCCTCAAAACAATGAAGGATTTGGGGATGGGGAAGGAAAATGTTTTCCCACGGAAAACATTTTCCGCCCCCGAACACCGAAAAACACGAAAAATATTTTTCGAAAAAATATTTTTTCGCAAACGAACACAGCCTAGATCCAAAATCGAATCTACTATAAGTATTGTCCGTGCGGATCCCACTTATCCTTGTTGAGGTCCACACAATCATATCAACCAAGTCTAATCAAGTGAGCTCATCGTGTCAATTATTGTTAGTACGTTTTAAATATTGAAGGAGGATCATTTACCGACTTAATTTGTCGTTTTTATTTCTCATATTCACTTATAATACCATTTTGGGGGCTTTAACACGTCTCTTATTAGATCTTTCAAAATGGGTCTATATTTCATGGGCTTGATTGTTATATAAGTTAGTTATATTATGTAAATAAATTTAATATGAGTATGAAATGGGTTCACAAATTACTTAGATCTGACCTAGCTTAATGACTTTCTCTTCACTCTCTTTCAATCTCGCGCTCACTTAATCTGTACTTTCACCTTAGTTTTGGTATAAAATTTCCTAGATTTGGTTAAATACACAAGTGTTTTGGCAATATGAATCGAATCAATTATGTGTTGGGTATAAGTCGGGTTGGATATGTATCATGGCCATATAGAGGAATATGTATCTTCTTCGCATGCCGGTTCAATGTTCACGGTTCAAAAAGAAATCAAATCAACAGGAATCGAAACTATCTACTTGGTTTGGCTTTGTCAACTAGACGATTTGATGTGGGGTTTCAATGGAGATTTTTCCATATCGATACGTTCCGTTCGAGAGCGAAAGAGTATCGCCGAGCCGAACCACGAACCCCCTCGCCTTTATATAAGGCCGAGTCCGAAAAATAATAAATAAAAAAAAAAGGAATATTCTTTCTCTTATTGGTTTCGCTTTCCAAAGTGGGAAAGGAATAACATTAAAATCGATCTCCTCGAACGAGAGCGTACGAGTGTTGTTCTGTCCGCGTACGAGACAACGATGTTAACGTTGCGGTCCCATGAGGTGGGTGTGGCCATTGAGGATGTCTTTTCCTCGTATTTTCTTCTCCCTCCCGGAAAGCGATGCCTTTGCTCAATTTATTCGATTCACCTCGGTCGTGGACGTCGTATTCGGAATATCCACGAACAGTAGATACGAGCCAATTTCCACGTCCATTCCTATGCCATTATCCGACGTTACCCCGCACTTGACTTTTGCTTTGGAAAACGTTTATGGTCGCTTTCTTGCTTTGGTGGGCTCCTATGTTCGGCAACCGATCTATTGACTCCTTGGAGCTTGCCACTTTCTTCTTTGTCAAATCAATCGAACAAGTCTCGTCGACGGAGAAGTACGGGATGATTTAAGACGAGGGCTTAAATCAGGGGTAAGCAATCCGGCCCGTTCAATATGGGAACCGACCTTGCTCGGCCAATTTAATGCCGGTTCATAGGTTCGCGATTCTAAAAATTGGAAACCGGTCCCGATCGATTTAGTTATCGGATCTATATTCTGAACCGGCAAGTTCTAACTCGAGAATCCAAGACCTGCAACTTGCAAGGCCGATTCCATGGGAGAACTTACAATCGAACCGGTTTTGAATTGGTATACTCCTAACACTAAGCACAAAGAATTGTATTCGTATTTGATAAATGAAAAAAAGAAATAAAAAGCTTCGGTCAGTTCCAGGATTTACAGGGTCGGTTCCCCGTTCGAAAAACAAAGAACCGATCCTAATAGGGTAGGTTTAAGATTTCATGCGCTTCGAAAAGATTATGTAGCAGATTTATGAGATGGACAAGAGTTATTATTCAAAACAAAGCGAAAAACGTCATAACACTTTGACATTAAAAAGAACGTCGGAATGAGCACTCCACCAAAAAACAACTCAATAATTGTGGACCTTTCATCGGTGGCCCCCCTTCCCACGTTACCAATATCTCGTTTGTCGAGACGATAAAATCTCGGGAGAGGGCACCAAATCAAGAAAAACAAAATAATTAATATCACGAAATTTTTTTTATCATAAATTAATTTTTTGACCACCAAATAAGTATTAAATTTCCGTTCGTTTGAATTGGATTAATATCACGAAAAACTACCAATTGATACACCGGTAATAAACGGAGGATAAAACCCTAAATCGATACATCCGTCAACTGTCACGAGTCATCAAGTCCAGAAATTTGACTGTAAACTTTAACGGAAACTAGCGGAGAGTAAAATTTATCATACGTGTATCAGTTTTGGATTTTGCCGTGGTTAAAAAATTAATTTAAGATAAATTTATCACGGGTACGTCAATTCGAGATTTTTCGTAATATTAATTTAATAAAAAAAAAAAAGGAGGGACCGAATGAGTTGCGCGAATCCCCCGTTTTCGTGTCGCGATAGGAAGGGAAAAACTCGAGAAGCAGGGCGAGTGGGAAAAAGGGACGGTGTAGCGTCGTAGCTAGGCTTGAGCCTCGAGAGAGTGTACGAGACGAAACGACGACGCGAGAATTTGACCGGTGGTGGTGGTGGTGGTGGTGGACTTTGGGGTACGACGACGGGGCAGGATATTTATCGTGGGGAGAAACAGCAGTAATGCCATGTGGGGGGTGGGGGACAGCCAGCCAGATGGCGACACTTGGGAAAAAAGAATTGGTCCCATTTTGAAATATTGTCCCTTCTTTCCAGCCGGTCTCACGGCTCGGCGCGCCTCCCAACCATACCCTGATTCATCATTCACGCTTAACACCGCGAAAAATCCCCCAAACAAATTTACCACACAAACTGATACACTTCTGATAAATTTATGCCCCGTCAGTTTCAAATTGCTGAGTTATATGACACTTGACAGTTAACGGATGTACCGATTTAGAGTTTTTTTTACCAATTTGTGTTTTTCCGTGATATTAATTGAATTTAACGGAAAGTAAATTCGTCATAAGTGTATCGGTTTGGGATTCTTGGTGGTCAAAAAATTAGTTTTTGGGTAATTTTATCACGGGTGTACCAGTACGGGGCTTGTTGTGGTGTTAACCTTATTATCTATTTTATATTTTTGTTGAGAGTCGAAACTAGGAGGGCGTTCGGTCATGTGCTCGCCACGTGATAATTTCCTTTCATTCACTGATCGCCACGTGGCGAGACTCGTGACATTGTTTTTCCACGGTCACTATTTGCGCTACGTGCCATCACTCACGCGTCCCAATCCTTAGCCTTCTCTAGGAGGTGGGGAACCCCACCTCTCCCTTCCCGTTAGAAATGGTGGCCACCGGGGCAACCCCTGAGTGGTTATTGTACGGATGTCAATTCGGTTATAAACTTTCGAATTTTGTTAATTTAGTCATATATGGCTGCTTGCGCGAAATTCTAATGCAGTCGTTCTGGTCAATTTTTGCCAAAATTCACTGACGTGGCAGTGTGTCACGTAGAATAGCCGGCAATTACTAGACCGCCACGTGAGCAATTGCCGGCAAAAATTGACCGGAATGACTACATTAGATTTTCGTGCAAAATTTTAGGACTAAATTGACAAGATTCGAAAATTTAGAACTAATTCGATATCCATATAATAGGTTTTACGACTGATTGAGTAATTTTCTCACCATACTATTATTTACATTGACGGCAATACTAATTGATTCATCAATCATTTTTTCCTCGACCTTGGCAGAGTCCATTTACCATCTACTTCCTGAAAAGATCCAAATCCATAACATACAAAAATCTCGTAACGCGCGCATCGAGCCTTTGATTTCGCATCGCATTTATCATGCCTCGGAAAATAAATAAAACTTCTCGTCGGATCCACCGTTAATGTGAAAAAGAAGAAAATAGAAACGCCTTGCTTATTCGCCATTCATCGTTAGATGGGTGATACGTGTGCTTAAATAAAAATCATGTCGCCCACCTGAAGTTGAAAGGCGTAAAATGATTGATTTATTTATTTTTGGGGACCGACGGTAAATGTAATGATGATTAAAAAAGACTGAGCAAGGCAGTGAAACAAAGAGGAAGAGTTCGGTCGAAGCAAAAACGTATATATTCTCTCAGCGCCCAATCCGATCGCGATGCTACTAGAGGCCTTTGTTTTGTTTTGTTTTAAGACTTTTTAGAGAGTCTTTATCTCTTATCTTGGCGTTTCGAATTTCTCTCTCCCCACTTTCCTTTTCGTTCCTCGTCGTACATGACACGTGTGGGGCCCCGCTCGCGTACGACTCCTGGGCGGGCCCCCCCAAGCCCCTCTCGAGCGAGCCTGAGCATGATCTAAAGGAAGGAAGGGAGCCTCGAGAAGTTCCAGGACGGGGGGGGGGCCCCACTTGTGCGTACAACTTGTGGGCCCCATTCCCCAGCCTTTTTCTCTCTCTCTCTTGCGGAAAATAAGATGGAAAAGCAGCACTTCCCCCCCCCCAAAAAAAGAAAAATTAAATCATGAAAATTTAAGCTGGCCTTGCCTTAGAACTTAAGATACGTTCCGAAAAAAAACAAGAATGAAAAAAAAAAACCCAAACGAGCACCACGAAAGCACTCGAAAACATTATAAGTTCTAAACGAGGGGGTACGTATTAAATATGCGTGACATAAAATTACGAAAATTTGACTCGATAACTCTTCCGCTATATTTAGGAATGTGCAAAACGGACCGCCCAAATAAAAAACCGTCCGGACCTAACCGGACCGGCCGGTTTGGTCCGGTTCCCGGGAGTGTCGGTCCAGTTCCCTGTTTCTAAAAGTGAAACCGGTGTCCGAATGGTCCGGTTCCAAAGGAAACCGGACAGGATTTGACCGACTATATGTACTTTTTTATTTATTTATTTTTTCAAAAAAATTAGTAAAATGTGAATTAAACCTTAAGTGAAACTGTTTTTTGATTCGTCTTTTCAATTTGAGGATCATTGCATACATTTCACTTAATTCAACACGAAAAGATGGCATCAAGTAATGGCAAAAAAAAAGTGATCGGTTCCATTGGACTGGTCTAGTATCGGATCTAGGACCAACCAGTCCAGTCCCTAGTTCTCAAAATTGGGAACCGATCCTCCCGGTACGGTTCCAAGTTCTATCTTGGAATCAGAGCGGACAAACCCAAATCGGATTGAGAACCGATCACCTTTACCTGTATTGACACGTTCACTGGAAATTCACAATTGTGGCAACGATGATTATGGCTACAGAATCGTACCAACAATGTCTGATATAAAAATGATAATGAATATCAGCGAGTGACGGCCTAAAAGTGATTTGGATAAGGGTATATGGAAAGAGATAGTATTTTGCACGCGAAATATCGGGAAATTAACTGTGATTTAAAATTCTAATGTCTACGGTCACGATGATATCGAATTTCTGTAAAGAATAAAAAGTACTTTGTATATTTTAGATGCCAAATGCTTACGAAATGAAAAGGCTCACCTAACATCGCATCTAACGCGGTAGGTATGGCCCCAAAGATTGATTAATTTGACTAATCTAAATGAAGACGCTATTCCAAGATAAGGATCGAATGGATCATGGAGCAATCGGGGTCGCTTTCGCGAAGCGTGCTTGCTTTGACATTGAGCTGGTTTGGTCGCATCCAGCGCCTCATTAGCTTCCAAAGTTGAAATTGAGTATTCAATCGTTGTCTATTTCATCTTATGCTCTCACTTACTTAGATTGCGAGCGATCTCGAAACGTGTCGCCCGTTAATCGTGATCTATTTGAGCCCCTTGGTCACGCAATTTGGCTCGTCTTGCTTGGTTCGAGTTCGTGAATTTCACGAGTCAAACGTTTGCTTGGGCTTGCCTGGATTTGGCGAGCCGCAAGCTCGCCTGGATTGGGCGAGCCTTGTGCTCGCCACCCCGGGTCTTGGCGGTCTCTGGGCTGTAACCTAGGGGCTCGCTGCCAGAGGCCGCGAGCTCGCCAGCTGTTGCCGTGGCCGGCGACCAACCGAGGAAAAAGAAAAAGAAAAAGGAAAAAAAGAAAAGAATAAATAATTCGATTTAAAATAAATAAATAAAAATTCGATTTTTTTAAATAAACTTTTTTATAAAAATAAATGTTTCATTAACTAAGGACCCGAGCCCAAGCGCCGAGGACTTGCGCATGACCTTTGTGGGCTTGGGCCGGAGGGTTGGGACTAGAGCTCAAGTATCGAGGACCTGAGTATTAGGGGTGTCAATGGGTTGGGTCGGGTTTCCATGATACCCGACCCGACCCGAAACTCACGGGAATGTGCTTAACCCGACCTGAACCGGCACGAGGCCCGAACGATATATATCCCAAAAGATCGGGTCGGGTCGGTCCGGGTAGGGTTTCGGGTATTTTTTTTTCCCTCTTCGTCCCTTCACCTCCCTTTGTTTCCCGGCTCACAGAAAAGTATGAAATGGAAACATTCCCAATTCAAACAAACTTCAAATATCTAAATTTGTCACGACCCCTTCGTACTTTGATTAAAAAGAATTTCTCTATTGTGATTGCTATAGCGAACTAGATCTTGATTGTTTAAAGTATCTAAGGAAAAGAAGAGCCACATTTTCACTCCTGTGAATACACCTAGCGATCGATCCAAATTCGACTGAACAAAAACATCAAAATTTACAGGTATGGGAAACATGATACTGAGACTTTTCAAGTAGAAGATTACAGTAAAAGAGAGCAATCAGCTTTACGCCATTTACGAAATGCTTTTAGCCATCTTCAATCCAATCAAAGTAACATTAACAACACCCACAAATCTTGACTTCCTAAACAAACCCACAGTCTCCTCCACCTTCACGTGATTGCACTCCTCAACGACCACCACACAAGCCCCGCCGACCCTCGTTGTCATCTCCATCTCCGCTGCGAACCGTGATAGGAACAGAGCCTCCTCCAAATGCTCACTCAACGCCAAATCGAAAACCCCATCGAAGATGCGCAAATTGTGCAGACCAACGCGGCTTACCAGAGGCGGCGAGTCAACCCCTGTGACATCGGCAACGCCCGACTCGGACAGCGCCATGACCTCGTGGCCGGTTCCGGCGGAGACCTAGAGGACCTTGGAGTGGTTGCGGAGGAGGCTTAGATCGGGGATCGAGTCAAAGAAGTGCCGGTGGGAGAGGACTAAGCCGCGGAAGGCGTGGGAGGACCAGAGGCGCTTGTTCTTTCTTGTCGAGGGGAGGAACTCGCGGCGGCCGAAGTCGCAGGAGAATTTGGGGTAGTGGCGGCGGCAGCGGTTAGGAGGAAGGTGAAGGTGGCGACGGTGAAGGAGGCTAAGGAGAGCTTGTTGAGGAACGTGAGAAAAGAGATGGGGGAGGGAGGAGTTTCCTATTTAGTATTTATATTTAATATATTTCGGGTCATTAGGGTACTCGAACCGACCCAAACCGACCTGAACCGAATTGCCAAGTTATCCATTGTTTCTCTCACTGCCCGAACAGGAATGAGACCCGACCCGAAAATACCTTGAATTTTCGGATCGGATCGGGTCGGGTCGGTTCGGATTGGGTCGGGGCGATTTGGGTATTTTTGACACCCCTACTGAGTATGGCTTTAATGGACTCGAGTTCAGGTGCCAAAAGCATCGGGTATAGACACTAGCGGTTCGGGCTCAGCCTCGATGGACCCGGGCGCGGGCGTCGGGGGCCCGGGCCCTAGACACCCAAACCTGGTCCTGAATGTCGAGACTCGAGAACCAACATGAGGGCTTTTGTGCCGACGCGTAGAGTTTCAAGTCCAAGTTTCGATAGCTAGTCATATTTTCTGAAAATGTTTTTCAGTTCTATTTAAGAGGAAATCATTGTCCCGAATTTAAGCTTTGGTAAGGAAACATTTTCCGTTGACCAGGAAAACCTTTTCTTTTCCGTTGACTCATTTTCCCGAGCAAACCAAACGTCGGAAAACGAGGAAAGTGTTTTCCCGAAAAATGCTTTCCGTGAAACAAACGGACCCGCTCAATTTTCCCACTGTTAAAATCCCGAAAGACGATTAGAAAAACCCAGATGCTGATGATAATCTAGACGTTAATATTTTCGAACGTTTTGATAGATATAAATACATATAAATATATATATATATATATATATATTATAGTTCGAAAGAGAGATTAAAAAAGAGTGAACCCACACGACACAAAAAAGTACGTCACAGATCCTCGAAAAATGTCGGATTTCTCTAAAGAGGAGCATTGCATGTACTGATTTTTTCTTTTTAGATAAGGGAAAGGCCATGGAAAAAGCCCCTCCCCCACGAATTAAAAATAAAAATAAAATAAAATTCCCCGGCGAATAACCCGAGGGAAAAAAAAAGAAAAAAAACAAAGAAGAAGAAAAGTACGGACACGAAAAGAAGGAGATGCCCCTCCCCCCCCCCGATAGCCGGTAATCTCGTGATTTTTCGACGAATGTAACATAAATCTCTCGAGACCAAAATCTCGATCGCGATTAATTCAATTTATCGTTCTCTTCTTTTTGTTGTGCGGCCAGTGGCCACAATAATTCAATTTCTCGTTCAATGTCGTTATCTCGTAGCCCCTGGTCCACTATATATATATATATATATATATAGATTTTATGGCAAAAATTTAATTAGAAAAGATGTGTGGAAGTAAGTGCGGCCACGAAAGCCACGCCCCACCTTATTATTGTAAAATCCGGAATATGCCCGGAAAAAAAAAATTAATTAAAAAAATGGAAAAAAAGAAATTGTCGCTTTTCATATTATAGAGATGATCGTAGACAAAGGGCGCGCTTCGTTAGTGTCCCCTCGATTTTATCTCGACAATGACGAGATCTCATTTTTTAAAATTGGCAATCCTCGTTCGGAAAAAGGAAAGAAAGCTCGATGATCCAATCGTCTCGTCAGGTCGCACGTGTGTTCTCCAATAACGAAAGATTGATGCGTGGCTGGCCGAACCGGTCGGCGCCACGCATCTAAACGTTTCTTAGTTGCTGACTCGTCGTCAATCGTGCGCGGTATTTAACACGCGTTGACCCTGCCTTGGACGAGAAGGATCGTGATTAGCCGATGCACAGTGGAGGCGCGGATTCCGAACGTGCGAATTGGGCCGTTAGATGGAAAAGGTAGGTGAGGTTTATTCAATTAATTTGTTGAGAAAAACCGATTTACATGACGCTATCGAAATCGTTCTGTCATAAGGAAAATTCTCGAAAACCTCTGTTAGCATAGATGGCATGCGGTGGAAACTTCGAAGTCATGCACCACAGAGATAGTTTCCTTATGGCGTTCGCGACCCCACGTCTCGTTAGCAACAATCTTTCGATTATAGATAAATTTTTTCCAAGGTGTTCGTAATCTCATGTATCATTCATGATAATCTTTCGATTACATTATGGTCGAGTAATTTAATCGAGACGAGAGGCTTTCAAACTGGCCATAAAAACAAACTTAGCTAAACAACATTGTTCAATTCCCCAAGTGGATGGATTTTCTTTTACAAGCAATACACCTCCTACACCGCGAGAAAGGCTCGACACAAATCGCTCGAATTTCGGAATCTTTTCCTGGAATCACGACTCTTTTCCCTCGTCTCACTTGATAATGCACTATATTTTCCTAGATTTACTTGATTGAAAAGGCTAGGGAATTATGAACAACGCCCGCATGTAAACTTGCGATATCAATGTTGGTAACCGCCGATGAATGCGTGATTGGGCAAAAATTCCTCAAGCCAATAATGAAGGAAAACGTGGCTTCGGTGATAATAGCCTGCCTAACCTACACTTAGGCTCTGTCGACGAGGTGACCACAGCGGCAACGTTGTAATGAATGGCTAAATCGAAAAGGCAATCTTGCCTTGCTTTGTCAATTTACTTGGGTGCAACTCACGTGTAATCGGATATATTATTATAGGATATGCTTTGCACATTTGCTAAACTAAAAAAGGAACCGGTGAAATTTATGAATCCTCGTAGAGCCCTACTCAACCTGACGATCCAAATACAATTTGTTCATCGTTACCCGGATTTCCCATTTTCTAATCTCGATCGTACGATCCATTTGATAATAAACCTTAAAGCTCCACGACGTGAAGTCGACACAATTGCTTCTAAAACGTACATGTTTCGATAGTAACCTTCTCGATGTCCATAGTGAATTTTCCTGACGGCTTTCGCAACGGACCCGCTCGGTGGCAATGCGGGACGGGTCAGGTGAGGTCGCGGGACGGGATTAAGTCTAGCCCGCGTCGGAAAATGACGTAATTAAATTAGTGATCATACGATACGAGCGATTTCGTAGATACTTACTTTCAGAAGTTTGGTCAAAATGGCATCGTACCGTAGACCTGGACGCAGAGGATCCGCGCCCCGACTAAGTCAGCTCCAGATTCCGCGCCGATGAACTCGACAAAAGGAAGCCGGCTTAAGCCGCAACTCATGCAAATCCTGCCACGGTAGATAAGCCATCCCGCTTATCACGATACGCAGCGCTACCCGGACGATAACTTCTCCGATAGGCCAACGCACTTATCGTCCCCTGTTTTCTGTCGCTTTCCTATTAAACTATCGCTCCTCCTCTGCAAGTGAAATGACGCCCCTAGACGAATCGCTAGAGATAGAGAGAGAAAGAGAGACACAGAGCGAGAGAGAGAGAGAGGGAGGTCGAGCGATGAAGAAGAGAAGGGCGTGAGGGAAATCAAAGACCATGCATCGTTTCTAGAGAGAGGGAAGAGAGAGATTGGTCGCTCCGGATTTCGCCGGGCGGGCTCTTGTCAAGAACCGATCTCTGCTGCTGCTGCTGGGTCGTCAGTCGCAAGGTGGGTTTCTCCGAACTTTCTATCTCGTATGTGCTTTTCGAATAATATGTGTGTGCTTGTTTTTGTAAAGGACTTTTCGTAAAGGCTTCTGCTTTTTTCCTGAGGTCGTGTTTTTTCTTTTTTTCTCGTGACACTGCTTTATTCGGTTATGTAAATTTTTACCCACCTGCTCTCTTTTCGCATATTCGATTCCCATGTGCTTTAAAGCCGGCGTCTTGTCTTCCATATCCGATCCTGGAGGAAAGCTGAAGCCTTTGGTATTGATCTCGCCGGTTTCGCGTAATTTGACCCCCGCCCAGTTCTTGTCGGTGCTGTCATTAATGAAAGATGGAGATGGTGGGTGTGGAGACCGAGTCCTGAGTTTGTGTGGGTCCTAAGTTCGGGTCGGATCGTGGGTGGGTTGTTTTTTTTTTTTTTTTTTGGAAGAATTTAGAGCCGACTGTTTCTGTGTTCGAGTGCCTTTTTCTGTTTTGGTTGTTGATCTTGCTGAACGGTGTCTCAAGATCTTGAAATTTTTAGGTGAAAATCGTGCATTTAGATCGGTGGAACAGAGAGGCAGTCGAGATGTCTTCTCTCAGCAGAGAGCTGGTGTTTTTGATCTTACAGTTTCTGGATGAGGAAAAGTTCAAAGAGACCGTTCACAAGTAGGTTAATCGTAATCAATTTGCTCCTATTTTTTAACTATCTCAGTAGCAGTGTTGTATTATAATATGATGATTGTGCGATGATGCTTTTTTCTCTCCCTGCCTCTGCAAATAGGCTTGAGCAGGAATCTGGGTTTTTCTTTAACATGAAGCATTTTGAGGATGAGGTCCATAGTGGGAATTGGGATGAGGTTGAGAGGTACCTCTCTGGGTTCACAAAAGTGGACGATAATCGGTACTCGATGAAAATCTTTTTCGAGATAAGGAAGCAGAAGTATCTTGAGGCGTTGGACAGGTCGGCTTCCATGATTACTCATAATCTTCTTTTCTATGCCATTTCTATGATTGAGTGCTTAAATTTCTTTGGTTTGGATGACAGGAATGATCGGTCCAAAGCTGTGGATATTTTAATAAAGGATCTTAAAGTGTTCTCCACCTTTAACGAGGAACTTTTTAGGGAAATAACGCAGCTACTGACGCTAGAGAACTTCAGGTATGAGAATATTTAGTTTTGCACTGGTAGCGGTATTATAGTCGCTGAAAATATGCTCAAACTGAATGCCTCCCGTTGCAGGGAAAATGAGCAATTATCTAAGTATGGAG